CTCTGCTGCCGCGGACGTATCAACGGTGGAGCAGGCCGCGCGCACACTCCGCTTTCGGTTGCCGAAAGCTTCGCCGCGTTTTCTACTCGTTTGTATGGGCACAATGCGCCAGCAATGGAGAATAGAATCCCGCGCGGATTAAATAATGAAAATTTTCCGCCGTTCTTCGGCCAACCGTGAAATTGAATTTATACGCCGGCAGACCGTCATTGGCGTTTAAGTATTGCCGCTCGCGCGCGACACGTCTACGTATAATTTCCGGTGGTTCGGGGGAAGAAGAAAGTGGGAGAAAGGACCGGGTGAGAAAAAATAGCTCGAGCACGGTCCATATCTGACCGTGGAAACGATCGACCCCGATTGTGTAAATACGCGAATTTATCTCGCACGCGTACACCGGCAATTCAAAGATATAAATGACAAAGTGACGCGAGCACGGCCTTTAATAGCGCTCGGAATAGCTGACCCCGTCACCCTTTTCATTTTTGAAACACGGGTCGACGGCGAACGGGAGTGCATTCGAATGTACCCGATGAATTTTTAATGCACCACTTGCTTGTCCCGTATATACGTATCTATTCGTGGCCTGTGAAGAAAGGGGGTACGATTTTCTTAAGAACTCCGCCACCAGATAAGAATTTCTACTCTTGGCTTCGGTCGTTCGGTCGTTGAAACCGATGATCGTGCACGGGTAAGTCCGATACGAAAATTCAACGTGCTCGCTCTTATTTGAATTCCGGGATTTTTAACGCGAACCCGCCGGCTGGCTCTCCGTTACTTGCCAACTTTCCTTCGGCCTGTCTTCCTCGCTCGCTGCCGCGTCTGACCCTTACGCTCCTACTCTACTACTCTTTCGACCGCCGCGCCAAGCGAAACCAAGCGAAGCCAAGCCCGCCGCCGTACCGGCACAAACGTCTGCCTTCCCCTCGCGACCCCGTTGCGCTTTCTTTCGCGATAAAGTTACGAGTCTGAAAGGAACGCCGCCTCTCCTAGGGTAGCCGCGATTATCCGCTTCTCGCGTTTCTTTAACGAAACAAGCAACGCAAAACCGACGAGCACCGCGGACAAAGAGAACTCGTTACTAACCCCCCCCCATACTGCCGGCTTTCTTCGTTTCCGCCATATTTCGCCAATCGATGGTCGAGTGGAAAACGAAGGGAACGCCGATCGGCAACTTTGAAATTCCTGATCGCGACCCCGGCCCAAAGTACAGGTGAATGCGACCGCATCGATGCGGCTGGCTGCTGCAGAGACAAACGTGCCAACACGTGCACCACCTACCTCTACGCATTTGTATGCCTAGGGCTTATGAGCGTATAGATGCATCGTACGGAATTGTTGTACGCGGGCCTCGGAGCTTGGATACGTATGCAAAGCGATCGCGTTTAACCAACTTCTCGCCGAGAATTTCCATTAGTCTAGGAGGTGGTCGAAGCGGCTCGGGGACAATGGCGGGGATGCGCGCCGGTTTCGGGGCTGGCTGTTTCGACGAGATCGAGCTCCGTCGAACGATTTCGAATCAACGCGTCTGGTAGGGCGGATAATTCAATTTGAATATGTATGCACGGCCTCGAAAATCCGTGAGGCGCGACGTTGTACTCTGTCGTGGACCTGCTATCCGCGATAATTCACCGATCGGTCTTCCGACATCGCCCGCGCGCCAATTTCCACGGCAATGCCGCGGGAGAGGCTTTACCACCGGTTAGAGGTCAGAGGCGGAGTCCAAGTCACGGGGTTCGCGTCTATCTCTGGCTCTTAAGAGGGTCTCCACGGGTCTATAAGGGCCTGCGCTAAATTTATGCAAATGTATGCCGGCAATATTCTAAATAAGTAGCTTCGCCCCTGACCCCTCACATCTCGCATCCTCGCGCTATCTCCAACTTCTCTCCAGCTCCTGTCTGTAAATTTGGCCGAGCAACCGACTAACCGTCGCGAAACAACCCGACGAGCATTCGCGATCATTTCCCAAGAAGAGAAGAAGGAGCAGGAGTGGAGAACGAGCGAGTAAATTATGAACGAAAGGAAAAGCTCTCGGTCTGTCGATTTGCGTGCCTTTGAAATTTTCATTCCGAGCCTAGCAGCGGGGACGCGTACCCAGAACGCGGCAAGAGACGTATCCGGAGAGCACTTTCGTATCTCGTTTTCAGCCGAGTCGGGTAAGTCCGGTCGGTGCGGCGCTGCTGCTGCTGCTGCTGCTGCTGCTCGTAACTGGCTTTTAACGCTAATAGCGCTTTCAGACCCATTTAAAGAGCATTTAGGAAACGGAGAAGAACGCAAAAGTTTAGTTGGTTCCATCTTTTTAGTCTGCTCGCGATACTTGGAAAATTAAATCGACCAGAGACCGAGTTTATTTTTAGGCGAGCATCCACCGGTGCTTTGCATTCCGTCCGCGGCAAATCCACAAGAGATCGCGCACGCTAGAGGAGGAAGAGTGACCGGAGAAGAAAGGAAGGAAGGAAGGTTTAATTTAAGGTGGCCTATTCCTCTAAGAGGGGAATCGAACGGGAAGGAGAAACTAAGCGTGACGGGGTGAGAAGCGTACGAGCATGGATTAGAAAGGTTGCAGCTTAATCGCGCTTCAATTAGCTGCTCGTAACAGCGTGACGTTCTTGCTCTGCTGCGGTGTCCGCGAGCGCGCGAATCAACGAACGAACGCGGTGTGCAATTATCCAGCCGAGTCGTCTCAAGAAGACCTGTAAAAACCGGCACGGGGAAAATTACGCGAAGAGTCTCGGCGGTCTCGGTTGATTCCTTGCCCCTTCGCCTACCGCCAAACTATCCAACGAGAACAGTTTTCGTGACCTTAATGCGTTCGTCGCGCTCGCGTTCGAATAATGTCGGCGCGAGTCGAGTCGATAGGCAAGGACCGAGGAAAATTTATCGCTCATTCCTCGTTAAGAGGCTCTCGACCTCCTGGCACACAGGGAGAGAGGATTCGAAAGGGAAAAAAGCTGTCGGTCGAAATTCGATTTCGAGCCAGCTTGCCTGCCACTCCTCTCCCTTGGACGATATCGATCGGTCGCTCGACGGTTCGAAGGACGGTTCACGAATAAATCACGGAATCAATTCCGATACGTAGTCGGTGCCGCCATAAATAAAATGCGCTAGATATCGTAGATCGGGTGGAGTAGGGGAGGGGGGAAACAAATGACAGCGCATAAGCGGGCAGAAACATTCGAAAGTTGCTCGGTGCAAGGCTCGACACGGGTTGCGTGCGCGCGCGCGCGCGCGCAATTTGAAATTCAAAGCGTGCAGAGCAGACCTCCCCCGATAAGAGCCTCGGACTCGGTGCAAAAATACACATTAGCGGATTTGAAATTTAGATCGCTTCTGGTCATCCAAGCGAAATTGAGTACCGGCCCTCGAAAACAGGCCGATTTACCGCGACTCTAACGAGACACTTGAAACCCCGCGCCGCGTACACATATACACCAAGGAAAAACATAGCCTCCTCCAGACGTTCATTTTCCCTTTTCCACCACTTTACAGCTCTTTTCCTTCTTCGACCCTTCGATAAATTTACCAGAGCGCTGTACGCGGTTGCAACCTGTTTCACGTAGAGAGAGCACAGTTTGCACGCCGCTCGTACTTACTTGTCATGTATGTGATGTACTGCGAGTCGCTGATGTTTCCTGAAAGAAGCTCGTTGAGTCGAGTCGTGCGTCGTCGCGGGGAACGCTTCTCGTGGGCCTCGAAGCGTTCCGCTCGTTACATTCGTGCCCGCACGAGTACTGCGATCTCTCGATTCTCCACCACCGCTACGACTACGACTACGGCTACGACTACGACTAAGACTACGCTCACGATGCTGACGACAACGAGTTTCCAGAACAATGCTGTTATCAACGATTCGGCAAAGGAACGAGGAACGTTGCGTTGTTCCTTGGAATCACGAGAGACGCGAAACGACACCCGAGTTTCGCGTTACCCGCCAACGAGATACTGCCTCCTCCTGCCACCCCGCCGCCGCGGAGAGGAGGAATATTCGCGGAACAACGCGGAAAAACTGCGAGGAAATTGCGTGCGCGTTTTCTTTTCGCACACGTTCGTCGCCCGTAAAACGTTTCAAAGACTGTCTCCGCCCGTCGCCTCGAGCTCGCCGTCTTTTCACCTTCGATATTTATCATTCCTCCCTCTGTACCGTTCCCCTCTTATTTTTATCGCGTCGCAACCTACGATACCGGTTCGTTTTAAAAACGCCACGGGTGGGAGTGGTACGAGCGGAGCGTGCTCCGGAGAGAACGTAAATTAACTCGACGAAGAAACGCATGCTCGGCGATAACTGGTCGCGTATAATAACGCAGGCATCGGTGTTCCTATCTGGCAGGGTGCACACTCACCCTTAACCGTCCCGATCTTTCTCCCTTGACGTCCACCTATTAGTTAAATGTTTCACCGATTTTCTTCTTCCCCCGAGATAGGGCAGCTCCTCGATAACTCTCCGATCGAGGCCGCGCACCCTCCACATTTTTCTTCGCGAGCACCAGCCGCCCATGCATCTTCTCGCGTTTGAAAAATTCCTCGTCCTCCTCGGGGCTGTTCAGGACGCCTCCCTCTTGTCCGGATTCCAGACGAGGACATACTGGAACTAGTCTGCCGGTGGATATTTAAATGGGTCCACGAGCTGGATATCGGCGTCATTAGCGCGAAAGCATGTCGGCGTCGTAGCTCGTGATCCGCACATAGCTGACCTATATACCGACGACGACGAGCGTGCCAAAGAGAGAGATTCGTATCGCGATCACGAGCGGACGCGGACACACGCCTCGGCGCTGCTTCGCCGTCAAGCACGCCGATTCGGTTCGTTTGCCTACGCTCCTATTTATTTTTCATCCGAATCCACCGACGCGCGCCTGTATCGAATTTGTCACTGCTGCCAGAACACTGGAGGTGGTGGTCCTTCACCGCCCTTTTACCAAAGTCACCCCTAATCGTGCAAACGGCTCTCTTCTCCAATATTCCCCCCGCCACGGTTTCCACAAATTCACCTGGATCGATGCGAATTCCTCGAAAATAAACGCGAGCCGGTGAATATGAATCCGTCTCGGCAGAGCGAACGTGCTCGTTTCGACAGCGACACGGAATAATTCAGGGAAACCTGGTAACGCGGCTACGTTACGATTCGTCGGGGTATTCGTGGCAATAATTAACGGCGCTGGCGAGCACAGCGTAAATAAAACTTGGGGAAACGCGTCCCGTCCGTCCATCGATCAGGCGGAGAAGAAGTCGATTCCCGATCACCAGATACCAGGCGTAAATACCGGCAGCGAGGTAAAAATGAAAAAGCTCTCGCTGATCGTATGGCGATCCCGTGTTCCTTTCGTGGAAAGAAACGAGTTCGATTAAATTGCGACGCAGTTTGGTCAAGAATAAACGACGGGACAGGCAGGAAAGGAGGCGAATCGATGGCCTCGAGCCGGATTAATTTCGTGGAATCGCGAGACTGAGTCCGAAATCACGTTTAACGTTCGACCGTTCGGACGTACGGCTGCGGGTGGACGCGGTCAAGAGGATGGGTGTTCTCGTGGGATTCGTGATGTACGATATTGGCGTGGTCGGACGAGACACGAGCTAGCCAGCACGAGATTCGTGACTTTGCGGCACTAATTCCAGGCCGAGACCTACCTCCGAGTGCACCGCTCGCTTTATTTTAAACAACCCCAGGACGAATGCGTTCCTAGCCCTAAAGTATTTCCACGTAGAGGAGGAGAGAGAGAGAGAGGAAAGTTCTCCGCGATTGCTCCAAAATCGTCCCATTGTGAGTCGTCGTCGGCAGTTCCGAATAGCCTATGTGGTCTATACCGAGCCGCTAAGAGGGTGGAATTGATTAAATAATTGGCCCCTCAGATCGGGGGCTAGTTTCTGGAATGAATACGCTGGCTCTTGGCCAAGGCTCGTTCGAGCTGTCGGAGAAGGAAGAAGGGCGGAAGGGGTTGAAAACCGCTCCTTCGCAGCAAGTACCCCGCGCGCGGCCACCACCACCACCGGCACCGTTACTACGTGGCTCGATAAAGACAAAGAGAGGAAGAGGGAGAGGGAGACACACGTTGCGAAAATTACCACCACCTCTTAATTCTTTCCCCGATTCGTATCTCGCGACTGCCAATGCCACGCGTCATCCAACGTATTTCAGCCCTACCCCGAGGGCAGAGCACGTTAATTAACGTACCTTTACGCGTACGGGCTGTTCGAGCGCAGTTTTTGCGATAGCGAATGGTCGACGATAACGGCGTACCTGCGAATTTTCCGCACTTTCGAGCCGTTTGTTTATCGTAACGAGATAAGATACGCTGTGCCTGTATGTGTTACACGTCCATACATCACGCCGGCGCGGCGTATTACGAAACATTACGGAGCATTCCAGCTTTTTTTTTCACCCGCCGTTCCTGCTTTACCTAAGATCGGTCTTTGCATTTTTTACATCGACGCAGCTTTCCTTCCCACCACCCGTTGGAACACGCGAATCAGGTTCTCGATCGGAAAAGCGGATAGTGGAAATGCGACCCAGTAACAAGAGCCCGTTATTTTAGTTGGCTGGCAAGCTGGCTCGGTGATTCGGTCAGCCAGCCAGCCGTTAACACCCACGACGCGTTAAAGACCTCGAGACTTTGCGTGATAGCCCTTCGAGAAACTCGTTTCAGGTGATAGGAAGCATGCGATTAAAGCGACTACTCGCTCGCTCTGTTGCTATACTAATTAGAGCTCGGTCGAGTTCGATGCTGATGTACGAACAACTTCAATCGGATTCGTCGACGAAACAATCGCGTCGGGGAACGTGTTTCTGCGAGAACGAGAACGAGAACGAGAACGAGAACCACCGCCGAATGGAAAACGGATCGATCGAAGGCGGCTCTCCTCCTTCTCTCGGAGAAGACGAGAATCCCTGCTCTACAATTTCCACCGGTTTCCCTTCTTCTTTTCCGTACTATCCGCGCAATTATCATTATCGATATCGTGGGATATTTGGACGAGGAGTTAATCGACTCGATAAGCGATTCTGCTCGCCTGTACCTGGACGCACGATAAGGGTAGTTGGGCGGAACGATGCTCCTGGCACAACCTTTAGGATCGCTTTCGATGCCGATCACGAGGCGAGGAAGCAAGGAAGGAGGCGGCGGCGTAGGGGAGGTAAAGCGGTTTCGGAGGGTCTTCAGATAATAGACATAAATATTCGCCGGGTTTTTCGGATTTATATTTCGCGCGTATCAGCCATCTCATTTGCATGGAGAATTTAGTGTGCGCGACGCACCCTTCCCGGTACGTTTTGGACCGCTTACACGTACGCGGCCGAGTACAGAGCTGATCGCGCTCGCGTGCTCCACCTAGTGAAACTCGGCAACAAAAGGAAGGAGAGGGGGTGGGGGAGAGAAAAAAGCAGACGGAATGAGAAATGGAGGAAAAACGAAGGGCAACGTTCAGAAGATATAGCCGGTCGATATAACTCCTGACTAAGCTGCGCTATTGAAAAATGATATTCTAGTGCCGCGAATGAAATATTATCGCTTCCTGTTCCGTCGCGCGATCTCGCCGTGAATAACCTTTCGTTCCCGTCTACGAGGATACTCCAACTGCTCGTGACCGATTGACTCGAATTCGTCTTTCTCTTTCTCTCTCTCTCTCTCTCTCTCCACAGTCAAAGACAATTAATGACGCTGCGCGATCGCGTTTATTCTTTCCCCGATGATTCCAGATTAAAGCGGATTCGGGATAAAAGAGAAATCCAACCTCTCCGCCTGCCTGTGAGAAAACGTCCAGATGTTTGGAAAAAATAATTGATAACGAGACGCCGAGTTTGGTAGGTAGTAACCGGGCAGAAACGGTGAAAACCCGTAAGAAGTTTCCTCCGGTGGAAGAGATTATCGGGAAATCGCGGGGACGAGTGGACGTAAACGGGTCGGAGGAAATATCGCGCATACGGCCAAGTATACGGATTGCAGAGAAGCAGCAGAGCGCACGGTGGAATAGGTCGAATCGTTCGAGTAATTCCCTTTTACGGTTTTCTCGGCCCGTTCTATGGCCGGGTAATGTTCGAGGTGCACGGCGAAAGAGAAACATAAGCGGTAAGAAAAGAGGGGCCAAACGAGCTGAATCGGGGGAAAAGAAATCCGCGAGGAGGGCAACGGAAGAAGGAGAGAACAGTCGCGATAGTTAGGCATCGCGACTGCAGCAACTGCACCCGCAAAAACTCTTCCGGATTTTTACTCGAGTTTTATGATTTAAATCGCACACTCCGCAATATTCTCTCTCTCTCTCTCTCTCTCTACTCCTGCTGCTCGACGTGGCGCGCCGGAGAACGCGCAATCGAGTCAGCAGTTGATTTTACGCTTTATCTTTATGGTTGTACGCGTACCGATCTCGCTTCTCTATCTCCTCGTCGCCCTTATTTCGCGGAGACTATCCGCGCGATCTTATCGTCGCGAACAACGTCTAAGGCACGTCCTACTCCGACCATTTCCGTCGTCAGCGATTCCTATCAACGAAACCAACTGATCGCGAGGACGAGAGAGGGCATTCCAAAGCTCCGCTCGCGACCATTTCTCCTCGTATCTCGCAAAATGCACTCGATGACGATGCGTGTGCATTTCAGGCTGGCTCGCGGTGAACCGCGTGCTATGATCAGAACGGCGTAATA